TGCCTGCTCAACACTGGCCACAGCTTAGTCTGAGGAGAAGAAGATCCGGGCTCCCTCACAGCTAGGAATGGACTGAGCCCTCAAGGGGTGGCAGGGCCTGCATATGCGTGTGCATGCGTGTGCATGTGCATGTGTGTGTGTGCATGTGAGCTGATATTCGGGGGTACTTGCCTATGCAGCCATAGCAGTTATGAAAACATTGGAATATTTCTCTCCTCCCCAGGCCACCCCCTAAGCTCCCCCGCACCTCCTGCCAATCCACACAGAAGGACCTTATTCCTGTTCTAATCTGGCTTCCACGCCCATAATCAGTGTCCGTGCCAGACAGCCCCCTTCCTGGACACTGCCATTGACCCCCCCCAAAGGACCCAGCAAGCTGATTCCCCTCTATGCTTCCCGCCTGGTCCCAGGGAGTCGTGGGTGGGCTCTACCCAGGGTCACCTTGCACCCTCCTGCCCTCTGTCTCAGCAACCAGGCCATCATGGGGCCCCTGTGGCAGTCATCTGAGCTGCATGTCCCTTGGCCGGGACCTTCATGGCAGAGATGACAGCCTGCGGGTGCCCCCCACCCCCCACAGAAGCCCTCATAGCCCCTCAGCTGGTCCAGCAGCCCATGGAGGGAGGTAAGGAGGCTGGAAGCCCCAGGTGGGCTCGGGATGGATGACTGGCTAGAGGGGCCAACTTGGGAATTGGAGAAGCCGGACTCTGCTCCCTCCCTACAGAATCTCAGAAGCCTGTGGGGGAAGGAGGGCAGAGGAAATTGGTTCCTCCCCAGGAGGTAGGAGTGAGGGGCCCAGCAGGCTCAGTGCTCAAAATGACCAGATGTCACAGACAGGCCCACGGTCTGACAACACAGCCCAGCCTGGGGGTGGGCCCCAGGAAGCCTGCGAGGCAGTGGAGGCAAGAGGATGTCTTGGAGTCAGATCTGTACAGTCCCAGCGCTGGCTCGGGCACTTTCCAGCTGCGAGGCGTGGGCACAAGCCTCAGGAGGAAGCTGGCTGGGGGTTCAGCCCATCTTCTTAATAACTTCTGACATTTTCTCAGCCTTCTTTAGTTTGCAAACACAGTTTTGAGCTCACCCCTGCTCTCTGGCCCAGGGTCACACAGGAAGACAGCGGTACAGCTAGATCCAAACCCAGGTCCCCAGACTCCCTGCCCTTCTGAAGAGCCAACCTGAGAAGCTCTCTGTACCCTTCCTGAGGGGGAAGTAGCGAGGGCCCCCATTAAGATGCAAGGACCCTTAACAATAGGCCAGGTAGAACCTTTCACCTTCTCCTCCACTCTGCCCACCCAAGAGGGAGGCAACCCAAGGCCACAGAGGGGATCTGCAGCTGACACCCCGCAGCTGGTCCCATTTAGGTTGGGGGTCAGCAGGTGGCCTGGGACAGTGGCTACCTCAAGTCTCCCTTACTCCCTGAGGGCATCACGGAAGGGCGGGAAAGCCCCACCATCTGGTGACCTACACTCTCCTGCCCCATCATGCCCTGTGCTTCTCACCCCTACCTCCTGCAGACCCTCACCCGCACCCACAGCCATCTCCTGCCACAGTCTGGGAAAGAGACTGGAAAGGTGTCTGCTCAGCTGGGAATACCGTGAGATGGGCAAAGCCAAGGGATACCATTGCTTGCTCTGGTTCAGGGTTCTCAGGGAGCCAGGCGCTTGCTGAGGCTTCTACCTCCTTCCCATCACCTGAGCCTCACACGACCCTGTCAACATCCTGGTGTTCAGACGAGGAAAGGCAGGTTCCCAGGGGAGAAGGGGTTTGCCAGGGGTCACGTGGCTAGGAAGCACCAAAGCCTCCATTTGAACCCAGGTTGGCCCTACCCACGGCCGAAGCCCTTCTCAGGGAAGCGCTCCCTGAGACCTGCTGATGTGGGACTGTCGCATGGGCACCGAGGGACCTCCGAGCTGAACCAGACTGTGTCCCCACCCCACACAGCTCTGAGTCCACCTGAAGCCCCAGAGTCTCAACTGCCCACAGCCAGGGACCAAGCCTTGTCTCTTAACTCAGCCTTTCTCCCCCTAGAAGGCCATCATCGGGGCAAGGGTGGCCTGTGGGTCCCTTCCATGGGCCAGAGGAGGCAGACAGTATGTGGGCAGCTCCTGATTCCCTAGGCAGCCGTGCCAGCTACACAACCAGCAGACCAGGGGGTAGCTTCTGCTCCTCCTAGCAGCCGAAGACGTGTTTTTCATCGTCCTTATCTGTCAGTTGGGGGTCATAATGAACATGCGCCTAAGATTATAATGAGTCAGTAGGTTAACATACGTCAAGGGGACTAGAACAGTGCAAATGCTATTTAAGCCCCCATTACTATGTAAAATTGTCCCTCAGTCGCTTTGCATGCATTCGCTGGGTCTTCCTGGTTCCCCCTTGGCAGACGCACGGCTTCCATCCTCGCTGCCCACAACCAGCACAAGGTGAGACACAGTAGGCTCGTATATGCTTTCTGCTCCAGTCGTGAAGGGATATCAGTTTGTTTGAGGGTGGTCTTGAATTCTAGATTCCAGCCAGACACATTCTTCCTAGTAGCTAAGCTAAGGAAGCCTTGGGAAATGAGAGCTATAGAACGGACAAAGTTTCCCTTTTTGCTTTGACCTCCAGGAAGCTCAGAGGCAAAATTACCTCTGATTCAACTAAACAACTAGAGCTCAAAGATGGCAACTGCTTTCGTGTCTCATGCCAACTGGATTGACGGACAGTACTGAACTGGGAAGGATTCTGAGGCTGCAGTGAGTAACGCCAGCTTGGAGTATGGCCAGGGTGCCTCTGGGCTAAGGAAATAAGAGGGGAGATCAACTGGTGATGTCTGCAGCAAGTACAGTGGTGGAGAACACAGGATATGCACAGCACGGATTCGCCATCACCAGGTTGGGCAACTCGGCTGGCCTTATTTCACCGGTGTCTACACTTGCTCACAGGCTTATATTTTCCCTGGTATGTTTCATGTTTTACTACTTGTACTTGCCTGTGGAATGAGGCAGATTATAAATAAAATGAGCTGGAATGGCTTCACTCCGAGCCCTCAGCCCTCTGTGCAGGCTGAGAGCTCGGGGGAGAGCCTCTGACTGTGACTGCAGCAGAGAACAGGCTCCGTGGAGCTCAAGGGTTCTTTGGCCCCTGGGGCTGTCCCCCGTGCCCTCCAAAGGCCAGAGAGTCAGCCACAGAAAGTCTCTTGCAAGAAATTAATTAGGTTCAGATCAACAGTTGCACTGTCCCTAACGTGTGCCCCCTTACCGCCTCGCTGAAGACAAGGCTGTCTGGCCTGCCCCCCCCCGCCGCCCCCATCTCTCTTGGGGGAGCATCTGTACCTACATCTTATCAGGACTTGAGAATCCAAAAGCAACATGATTCAGAAATCACTTGGAGGGCTGCTAAAAAGGCAGATTCTTTGTCCCCAACCCAGATCTGCTGTATCAGAATCCCCAAGGCCTGGAATCTGCATTTTCACCAGCGCTCCTGCTGGAGCGAGAGACCCACGGGGCTGGGGAAGCCACAGAATAACTTTGAGCTCCGCCAGGCTCCTAGGCTGGGGCAGCAGCGCCACCTGGTGGGCCCTGCGGAAACACCTTCCGACCATTGCCCTTCCGGCCCCACTTCAGGGTGGCCGGCCTCTTTCCAGTTGGTCTCCAGAGCCAGAAGCAGCATCTCTTAGACAGCAAGCTGGATTGTTACAAATCCTCTTTAATAGTTAGTTGTCAAATCTCAGACATGTTTTACAGAACTGTGCACAGAGCCCCTCCCTACTCCCTTACAAGGCACAGATTCACCCACCCATTCCCTGGGGGGCAAAGGACAGACCCACCTAGCTTCTCCCAGGGGAAAGCGTCCTTCCCCTTCCCTGGACAGTTTAGGATCCTGGCAAATGCAGGACAAGCCCTGTGTCAGGCCCCCAGGGTTCACCCCCCTGATTCCCTAAGCAGCCCAGAGCCAGTCCAGATTCCCTGACCCAGAGGGCCCCTCTTCGGCCCCACTTATGGCATCATCCTCGGTTGATCCGAGCTGGCCTGGGGAAGGCTGCTGCTCCTAATAATGTCAGGTAAGGCCCACCCTCTCCCACTACCTTCAATGAAAATGTGAAAACCAAAGACACAAGCATTACAGTGGAAAACAATGTTTACCCACGCAGTGGGCAGTCCCCTGACAGCCCAGGGTGCCTTATCCAACCCCCAACCGCCCCCAGTGTTGAGCACACTTTTCCCCATCCCGTATACACAGCTCCAAGGCAGACGGAGACCCAGCCCACCTGTGCAGGGACACCACGGGAGCATCCTCTCTGCGTGGCTAAGAGAATCCCGGCGGGCGATAAGCGAAGGAGCCACAGAGGAGCTGGGGGACAAAGGTAGGAAGAGGGGCCCAGGCCCCAGAAAGCCCGCCCCCCGCCAGCACAGGACGAGCAGGGGGAGTGAGGCGGGGGTGAGCCTGGAGCAGAGCCTGGAGCCCTGC